AATAAGATTACGCATTTGTTTAGTAAATGGAGCAAACATGTGTTTGATATGCCTGAACCAATATATAATCAGCACAAAAAGACTCTTATTTATGCTTATGAAAGACACAAGGTTAGAATAAATCCTCAGGGCGAAGATGCTAAGATAAGTTGAAAATGTACTTAGATTGATTAAGAAGCAATTTGTATATAGGATTTCCCTTAGAAATTTTATGAAGCAGTTAAATACAGTAAATCTTATGAAACAAGATTAATTAATATATTATTACTGTCAGTTAGTGTGTAAAATTCAATGCCCGGCAGGAACAGGGATGTAATTTCATCATCAACCAAAATTGCCATATAATTTGAAACGATTTGAATCGAATGCAAAATATGAATCGAATCACCTGATTTTTGGTTTGACAATGTTTTGTTTTGATTCAGACCAATATATACTATCTAATACATATAATAAATTAATCCGATGAAAAATTCTTTGACTTTGTTTCAATGAATTATGATTAAATCATACAATGAATTTTTAAAGTTTTTGCTTCATATGTAAATTCGTTGAAACGCGATTTTAAATGCGACTTTCTTATGCGTTCTATCCTATAAAAATTTATGTATGTAATAGGTGCCGAATGCATACTGACACAGAATATATACACAGAAAAATAAACTTTTCTGTACCCAAACATATGGATTAGACTTATACGTGTTTTCTATATTACCGTTTTTTCTTCTGGTCCATCAATTATAGTTTGCTAACCATTTACAAATTTATTAATATGTTTTAGAATTGATAATTTTTAATATTTTTATTTTGACATGCGAACAAAAAATAAAAATTTAATAATTAATCTCTACTAATTTATATATTACAAATTCTTCTAACAAATAATATTTTTCTTCAATATTTAAATTATTTTGATAAGAAAAATAAGGGTGACCACTATAACAACAATACGGTTCATTATTAATACTGTTACACGCGTATAAATTATGAAAATTAACTAATTTTTCATGAAATTTAATATCATCACCAAAATGATCTAGAATTTTTCTGTCATGACGTATTGCACTTCTGTAAAATCTGACTTTACTTAAAATTGAATTATTTATTTGGTTTTGATCAATCTTGAAAATAAAACTTTTGTCTGTTTTAATCCAATAAGCATCATCAGGTGACTTTTTCTTATTATTCCAACAAACTGGATTATATCCACCAATTAATTCTCCTGTTTCTTTAATTTTCATGATGACAACCGTGTTTTCAATGTTGTAACATCTCTTCTCAAAAACTGACCTTGAAAATCCATTTCGAGACCCGCTGAGAATCAAATTAAATTCATATGGTAAGTCATTTGAACTAATTCCATTGATCCAATTTGAAATTAAAGATTTCATTTCTATACTTAATAATCTTCTGATCCTTGGACCTTTTTGAGGTAATAGCCTTGGTTGCCATTCATAATTATAATAATAATATTGAATTAGTTCCTCGTACATTTCTTTATCGATAGCTTCTCTGTAGGGTTGGATTTTTTCATTAAAGTCATTCAAAGAGATCATGTTAAATCTCATTAGTGGAATGATATCTTTTAAAAGTGTTTTTAATTCAATTACATTATCCTTGCTCCACCCTGAAATATCTTCTCCTAGTTTGATTAATCTTGGTTTTTTATTTTTTGATGAATACTGTCCCAACTCTACCGCTTTTTTTCTTTTCTTTTCCTCTTCCATTTCTTCCAAAATTTCTATTTGTCCGATTCCCCATTGAATAACATGGTTCCAGACATCTACTTCATTCTCTACTTTTAAATCGTCTCTTTCCAATATTGACAGAATCATTGGTTTTTCAATGGCTTTATAGCCATCATCATCATCACCAGAATTAAAAAAAAATAATTCGGGATTTTCACAAATTAATTCTTTGCAAATATCTTGAAGCATACTAAATGATAAATGATGTTGTGACGAGAACCTATAAACATAAATTAAATTTTGCTTGATCCATCCATTTTTTTTAATGATTAAATAATTCTGTAAATCATCAATTAATTCACAAAAACATAATTCATCGCATGCTTTGAGCAGTTCAAGAATTTCATCTGGACTCATGTTGTTAACGCTAATAATTCCATTAT